TAGCCGACTCATTAGGCCCATCAGGTTCGCGATATACACGTTCGCGGGTTCGTCTGGGCCCTGATATCGGCCTTGTACCTCTTTGATTAGACGCTGCTGCTGTTGCCTGCTGGTTCCAAACCATACTCTGGCGTCTGCCTCGAAATCCGCAAAGGAGAACCATTCATTCCTCATCGCCTCGAACCATACAAGGGCAGGACCGGTGAGCAACTCGGAGACAGCCGTGAGCATCTCGTCTTCCGTGAGTCCAGCGCTGCTCCTCGAGTTTTCTAATCTCGTTAAGAAGGTGTCGATGCTCGCGTTGCCCTCTCCGGAGAACCTGAGCTTCCATCCCCTGACGATGCGGCCGACGTCCCTTGTTGTGGATAACGGGCTCGACGTCTGTTGGGATGACCACATGCTCGGCGGGTGGTTGCTCACTTCAGCATTAACTCCACCGAGTTGATGCTGTCCACCCTCTCCAAAAGGGGGCGTTCGGCGGGGGGTCCTGTCGGGGGCCCCCGTGGGCCTTAGGCCTGGTCCGGCTGGAGTGCTCTGGGGTAGCCTTGCGTCGTAATGGCATGTGAAAGTGCCCTGGAATGCGACACTCCTACGCGTGTTTTCGGGTTGCGGTTCCTCCTTGGAAATGTTTGATTCGTCTTGCCGCGTACTTTTGTTCGCGGCATTCTCCAGTTCCGTAATCCTGGTCGCAAGGTTGTCCATGTGTTCCTGCGCCCTGACGTTGGTCTGGACGATTTCTTGCATAACTTGGGTAAGGTCAGACGCATTTCTATTTCGCGATTCTTGGACCTCCCATTTCTTCTCATGTTCCCTGCATCGGAAAATGAGGTCTTGAATCATAATTGCGAATGCCGGCGGGAGTTTAAACTGGAATCCTTCGTCAGTTGTTATAGTAATTTCTTTATTGCTATTTGATTTTTCTCCGCTGTCCAGGGCATTCGCGATGTTTATCGCGGTTTTCTGAACCCGCGATATTACGTCCGCACTCTGTAGTAATTGGGCTAGCGGGTGTTCTCCTTCCTGCTCGGATGCTGTGTGTTCCTGGCATAGGGACACGATTAGCTCTGAGCGTAGGGCGGCTCTTTTGGCTGGACTGCTGTTTTGGTGTTCGACTTCCGCAAAATCTGCTGCGGAATATTCGCCGAGTAGCCAGTTATGCAGTCGGGCAGCTCTCGAGAGCTTGCTCCCGCTAGTCTTGAGCTCCAGCTGGTCGAGGTATTCTTCTATCTCCTCTTCCTGGAGCGTCCATACCCAATTCTCTACTTCAGTATGAGTGCGGTCCATGATTTGCTGTTAGGTTACTTGCGGTTGAATTTGTTTGTAAAAATGCAGGTATTATACGCGCGTGCGAGTGTTATATTAAAATTCGTGCGCCGAATTGAAGAATAAAAAAAATTTTTATTTGCCAACACTGGGCTTGATCAAGGGCGCTTAATGAATTAATTGCCGAAAGATTCTTTGCTCGTAAATACGCAATATAATGATCCTACCTATCAGACGTACTAACTGTTTGTTAGCACGGCTGTGTGAGTTAGTATCTAAAATATTGTAATGAGCGTTGTGCGTAAACACCAATAATCGCAGACAATAATATTAAAAAAACTATGCTAACACAATACAATGTCGAACAAAATTATTCAATTGAATTAATCCCGTTTGAAAATTGCCGGTGTTAGTTTTTCCCCGGGCCAACGGGTATAATATTATTTGCGGCAATTTTCAAGATTCGTTGGTGTTTACGTTCTAGAATCTTTCGGTCGCACTCGCACGCGTTCACAGGTTTTGTTTACAAATTTTCGCCGCGGCGGGCCTTCGCAAGCTAGCTAACAGGTATTGTTTACACTGGTGGCTTTCGGTGTCGAGTGCGCACAACAACACTTGACTGCCACCTGAGCTATTGGTTGACCGAGCGCAAAGTTAATATAAAGAACCGGTGTTTTGCACAATCAAAAACACCGTAGGTTCTTTGACGTTGGGCGCCATGTAACGGGTTAAAACCGTTTAATAATTACGTCGCGTGATTATGCTAAGGGGACACGCGTGAATCGTTAATGCTCACTACTAATACGGGAGAGCACGAGAAAGCATACGCCGGTCAACCGATTATCGTTTATAACCTAGCTAAATTGAGTGGAAGCTATGTGAGGAGAGAATCAACGAAAACACTTGTTAGTATTATAGATCGGATGCTTTATTATTTTTCTAACTCACAAAGGTCGGCCCGCGAGTTTGTTTACACGCACGCTCGCTCATCGGCAACACGCTTTGCCGGTACGCTCGCTGCTCTCTGATATTAGAGCCTCACACGCACGCATCGAATACCGAAAGTTATTTATCCGACATGCAATTCCGATCGCGTAATTAAGCTGGCGAGCTTACCTTATAATCGTGAGTGATCGGAGACAGTCACAGCAACTCGCACAGCACGGAACAGTCGCTTATTGTTTTTGATATCCGCGAGCCGCGAACGCGCGCACGCACTGGTTTCGCCCTCGATGGCGAAACCTCACACACTCTCCCTGGATCTCTCGATCGGGCCTCTGACTCACAGCTTGGCAGCTCCTCGGCGGCTACAATCCTGGATCACTGGCTGCTAGTTCACGAAGCGTACAGACGGCTAGGGCACGTAAATCGGCGGTGGTAACAACAGAAGCGGGCGGGCTCAACTACAGTCGATGCTTCACTGGTTCAAATTCGTTCGCGCGCGTTCCGTCTGCTCGCGTGCCGAATTCCTTTATTACATATTTTTGTCCCCCCGGAAGGTGCTGCCCTCACGGACAACGATAAGGTCACGTAGTTAGCGCTAACTTGACGTTTACCGTCACAAGTTTCATCCTTATAAAATGAAACTTGTGCAGGAATTAAGTGAGGATGATCCTGATCGTCGAGTAGAATTTTGTGAGACAATGATGCAAATGATTAATGAAAATCCAATATTTTTACGAAAAATTATTTTTTCAGATGAAGCGACATTTCAATTAAATGGCGAAGTCAATCGTCATATCTTTAGATATTGGTCCAATACAAACCCTCATTGGATGAGAGAAAGTCACACTCAATATCCTAAAAAATTAAACGTGTGGGCAGGAATAGTAGGCGATACAATAATAGGTCCCTTTCTTATCGAAGGAAATTTAAACGCTGTAAGTTATGAACAACTTTTGCGAAATCAAATTTTTCCAGCTATCTAAGCCTTAAGAGGTGATGGTTTTGAAAATACATGGTTACAGCAAGATTGTGCTCCAGCTCATTACGGTGTAAATGTCAGACAATACCTCAATGAAATATTTTTTGATAGATGGATAGGTAGAAGAGGTAAGGTAGAGTGGGTTCCAAGATCTGCAGATTTAAGCCCTTTGGACTATTTTTTGTGGGGGTATTTAAAAGATCGGGTATACAGAAGTAATCCACAAAATCTTGAAGAATTAAAACGTAGAATAGTTCAAGAAATAAATGCCATTCCACGACAGATGATCCAAAATGAAACTCAATCATTCTACAATAGGATTGGTTACTGTCAAGAAGCGAATGGAGAACAATTTGAACATCTATTGTAAATTCATTTACGTGAGAGGCAATTATTAAAAAGAATAGATTCCTTCTACGACCACGTCGTTGTTCCTGGATAGCGCTAAAAGGAGGATTAGGAGTTACGATATCTTCGGACTTGAATCGTTTCAACCCGTAAAATTTATCGCTCTTTTTGATTCTAGTATAAAAAATAGGGGTTTCCATATGAAAAAATGAGGTTGACCTTGAAATAACCGTGAAAATGAGGTTCAAGGTCAAATCACAGGTCATCGTTAGGTTCCTCGTTGAAAGTTACATAGGGTATGACCTTTGTTTCATGACTAAACTCATGCGGTTTCCCGAATTTCCCGGGGTTTTCATACTTTTTCCTCACTCTGTATATTTAGATTAAGTTGTTCGTGGTGTACTGACTAGTATGCGTACAGATATGCGGCGAACTTTTTCTTTATGTGTAACGAACGAATGATTTTGTATGTAATTAGCGGACCATATGTTGTGAAATAAAGTGTAATATTTTGAAAAAGAGAAGTCCCACATTTATATTATCCGTCATCTCTCTCCTCGTAACACCCGTATTTTTTAGATGGCATAAAGTCCGTTGCCATTGACGAATAAGGAACGAAGGCATCTCCTGAATTCTCCCTTAAATAATAAGTCCACTTTTACCTGATATTGCGTATAGCAACTTATTCGGAAAAGAAGAAAAAAAGGGCAGGATTAATAAGAGTTCGGACGAAGAAGACGTAATGATGTGAATTAATGAAACTCAGTTTCCAACAAGTATAACTAATAAATAAATTTGTTAATGCAGACAGATAATAAAATCAAGGAGAGATTATACTTAGCCGGCATAAAAAATCCTAGTCTGGAGTAAGGAAAAATCCATTTAAATGCAATACTTATATATAAAAAGGTACATATATTTAAGGAAATGGAACACACGGGTTTTCCCTAATATGTGGCGCCGGCTCGTTTTTATTACTGGCGGCTCCACGAAGATCCTCTCACTCTCTCGATCTCTCCTTTTTTCTCTTGCTTATAGTTAACAAATGAGCGAACACTTGAGCTCCCGGAAACGTTCGCATTTCCAATTGAAAGAGGCAAATTGTGACAGTCATAAACAGCACTATATTTATCCACATATTTTTTATGTTTTATTCATTGTACTTTTCATCTTATTGTTATATATTTTATTTAATAAATGATTTCATAGAAATCCTGTATTTGTTACCTAGGTATATTCACTCAAGGTCATTCTGAATAACAACGAAACACAATCAAAAAATTTCTAGACCAAAAATTTTCAAGGGGTTGTTTCAGAAACAAACAATTCTCCGAGAGAGTCTGTTTCAGAAACAATTTTAGGAAGTATCTGTTTTAGAATCAACAGTGGGAGAGGGTGTTGTTTTAGAATTGGCACAGCTTATTTACCTACTAAGTTTATAGGCATTATGTGTTGTATATTTCAGAATCTATCAAGTGGCTCAGAAGATGAATTGGTGATAGTTCCAAATGTTCCAATGTTATCGGCAACATCGCAGTCAAAACACGCAGCACGTTTCCTACGACTGGCTATGGCTTCTATTATGGATATTTTAAAGATAAAACCATTCGTAGAAGTATCGGTAGGTCAGTTACTTTGGGGATATGAAGATCCATTGTTGAAACTAGCAAAGGACGTAGTTCCGACTGATCAAAAATTACCTTACGAACAGTTTGGTTTATTATATGGAAAGAATGGTACTGGTAAAGATAATTTTACTATATTCACGGGTGCTTTGGATATCAGCAAATATGGTTTACTTGATAAATGGAATGGCAAGGCGGGCCTTGGACATTGGACTAAGCCTCACTGTGATAGTATAATGGGGAGTGATGGCAGTATTTTTCCGCCTCAAATCACTAAGCACACCGTACTTAAAGTTTTCGATAAAGATCTTTGTCGGACACTACCTCTTATTTATAAGGTATGCATTTTTGTTAAATTTAGTTCCCTTTTTACAAAATATATGTCAGTTTATCTATCTATCTATCTTTTTTCTTTTTTAACGGTTTTAATGGATATTCCTTAAATATTAAAATGACTTATACAGTATCAAGTAGCCACGTACCCATAGGATTTCTTACTTATATTACTTCGGCAGATCCTCTTATACTCTTGATTTGTCTCCTCTACGTTTGTTGTATATTCCTTATACCTTCATCTGTTTCAGAAGGGAAAAGGAACTTAGAATTGTTCATTAATATTAGCTAATCATCTATATTCTGTGATACAAGAATGTCTTTCTATAATATCACTTCAATTTGCACTGTCATTTCGTTATTTCGTTTAGGTCTATCCTGCTCTTAAGTAAAGCTCTCGAATAAGACTTGTTACACGTTGTTAATTTCTTTTCCGCAAAATGACAGTTACTATTAGATTTATGCTCTCTATTTTAGCAAATTATCCTCTAAAGTATGGGTGGTTACTGAGTACTTGTGTTAGTCGGTAGTCTATTTTACTGTACTTCTGTAGTAGTCATTCCTTGACGGTTGGTATAAGCGTGTAAATTCATTACCTATCATTCGACACCATTCATTTATTCTATCATCTTTCGTTTCCTCTTCTACATGGATCTTTTATTCTTTGAATAAATTCCTTTATCTCTGTCGTTGTTACTTCTATCAATGCCATATCTCACATCTTTCCAGGGTCAATAATTGAACGGGCAATGAATCTACTAACCCATTTGATATGGTTATCTCGAATCAGCAACTAATACTAACAGCTTTCTCTATACTGGCTTTAGTTCTACAGGGTGAGTCATTTTAATTTCCCCAGTCTAATAACTTTTGAAACAAGCAAATTACGCAAAAATGTTTCAGACCAAAGTTGTAGGGGTTCAAGGGGGACATCTAGGGGTGACTTTGAAATTGACCTTGAGCTTGACCTTGACGGCTTTCTCAAGGTCAAGTCTATTTTTTTATTGGGAATCCCTATTTCTGACCTCGGAATCGGAAAGAGCGGGAAATTTTACATCCAGATAACATCTTTTAACATGGGTCAAAATAAACCCTTAAGGTCATGCTAAGGTCAAAACTATCCTGGAACAAGAATCGAACAATGTAAGCAAAATACGAAAAAATGACTCAGAAAAAAGTTGTAGGAGTTCAAGGGGGACGTCTAGGGGTGACTTTGAAATTGACCTTGAGCTTGACCTTGACGGCTTTCTCAAGGTCAAGTCTATTTTTTTATTGGGAACCCTTATTTCTGACCTCGGAATCGGAAAGAGCAGGAAATTTTACAGGATTTAAATTTTTTAAATTTAATTTTTTTAAATTTTACAGGACTATTCTTGTTTCCGTTCCCTATCCTTTTTTATTTTTCACCGGACTGTATGATTATTATTAATAAATTTCAAATATTGGAAGTTTTTGCTAATAATTTGCTATTACAAGTCTATTAAATTAATGAAACTTTTTCAGTATCAATCTGATGTTCTGCAAAGAAATAAGAGTAAAAGTTAAATACATAAGGATAAATTTCATGTTCAATGAAGAATCTATTACATTTGGAAGTCGTTTAGAAAGTAATCGCAATACGTTCAGTCGTGATTTCAATTTTGAAAAAGCTTTAAATATTACTTTTGTTTTAACCATGCTTGTGTTCATTGTATCACTATCATTATTTCTTCATATTTGAATAAGAGACCTTTCTTATTGGCCTGCGCGATCACCGGACTTAACTTCCCCAGATTTCTTCCTTTGGGGATACTTAAAAAATACTGTGTTCGCCGAAGCGCCCACAACAAGGGAGAATATGATAGAAAGGATTAGAGTTGCATGTAGACAAATCTCTAGAGATATCTTACTGCGCACTATTGAAAGCTTCGAACAGAGGCTCAGGCAATGCATCGACGTAAATGGTAATAATTTCGAGCAAAACCGATAGGAAATAAGTTTATTCTAGTTTCATCACGAATTGTGAGAGGCAAGGGGACTCACATTAATAAAGCACCCCAAATCGTGAGAGGCAAGGGGATTCACGTTAATAAAGCACCCCGAATCGTGAGAGGCAAGGGGACTCACGTTAATAAAGCACCCCAGAGGGAACATAATCCTATTACGTCCACGTCGTTGTTCCTGGGTAGTGCTAAAGATAGGAAGTTTATGATCTTAAACATCAGCATCGTTAGTACATGGCCAGTCCCTTATTCTTTGGAAGTTTATTTAACAACGGTCATATGCGATAAAAGCTTCGCCTCGAAATGTAACAAAAATAAGAGAATTTTCAAGAATTTGACCTTTGCTTCACATTGAGAATAGAAGTACGACAAAGGTCTTCGATGCTCGTTAAACCTTTTGATGTTTGAAAGCGGCTTCAATTTCTTAAGTAAAAACTGAAATATTGTTTATGTTCTTATGAAAAAAAACTAAATAGATACTTGAACGTAAAATTTCCCGCTCTTTCTGATCCTGAGATCAGAAATAGGGGTTTCCATTAAAAAAATAGAAATGACCTTGAGAAAACCGTCAAGGTCAAGCTCAAGGTCAATTTCAAAGTCACCCCTAGATGTCCCCCTTGAACCCCTACAACTTTGGTCTGAAACATTTTTGCGTAATTTGCTTGTTTCAAAAGTTATTAGACTGGGGAAATTAAAATGACTCACCCTGTATATTTGATGTAAGTGGCGACAGTAATAAGCCCCTATTGATGCCTTTGTTATTGCCTTTTCGATATGATATTTAAATGACCATTTTTTTGTCAGTTATACTTTCAAAAACTTAATTTCTCTCATAGCAGAATTGCTTTACAACTGATTTTAAACCTTAATTTGTCGTACTTCCTTCAATAAGTGATCAATAATACCTTGCATTTATCTATGGTTACCGGTAAAAGTATACTTGATCATTTTCAATACCTCATAAGCAATAACTTTTCACTTGCCATGCTTCTTTTGCTACTATGATTAAAACGAGATTGTTCGCAAATGAAGACTCCTTTTGGTAGCTTTCTCTCTCTCTCTCTCTCTCTTTCTCTCTCTCTCTTTCTCCTTTTTAATCGCTGTAATTTTTATATTTTCTTTATTTGGAAGTGTTATTAATTTCTCATACATGGATAAATTTAGCAAGAAGTAATGACAGTGAGTGGAGTTCCTGGCTATAGATTTGTCCCACCAGCAGACGTATTTTCCTCACCCGATCGAGTACCGTCGCAGCAATGCTTCTGTCCATCAGGTCCTCCCTGTGCTCCCGAGGGGACGTTCAATGCATCTCTATGCCAATATGATTCACCAGTTCTCCTCAGTTTTCCACATTTTTACTTGGGTAAGTAATTCTCATCTTTCTCGACAGAGATATATTATATTACGCAACAGTATTTATATGTTTGCAAAAACAATAAATGAACGGATACGCTTAATCAGAAACTCTCAATTACATCTTCAAATAAACACTAAAAAGTTAAAATATTTTCTTAATTTTATAGGAAAAAAACATTTTAAATAATAATAAAGTTCAGTTAACAAAACATTAAAATAGTTATGACTGAAATATAAATATTTATGTTATAATAATTTTTTTGAAACGAATTTGATGTTATTACATTTTCATTAATCTTGTTTATAAAAGCAATGTTTCGATCGTATTGACATAAACAATCGATTGTGTTTAGGTTGCAAGAGTAACTTAATTCTAATTTTATACATATTACTGTTACATTATAAAAATGTAACGGCTTTTAGTTTGAAAATTCTCCAACTCTTTCAGACAAAATTTTGGCATTATTGAGCGCCTGACGGCATAAAATTATATACAATACAAAATAATTAACGAATAACGACACTCTCATTACTGCTGCATATGTAAAGTGTATTTATAATCCTTTTAGATTATCTAGTCATTACTTAACTGGTTTTCTACCTAAGAACCTAATAGAATTTTTATATTGGAGCGTCCTATTTACACAGAAGAAAGTTATATATTTTGAAAGATTTCTTTTGTTTGGTTATGCATACACTTGCAGTTCAAATTTCAAGAAAAATTTATTTTTTTTAATTTTCAAGCTACGGGTTAATTTCAGTTACTTTCGTAACGTGGTTTAAATTCTTTCATATCCATCTATAATCTCAGCTGTAATTTATTTATTTTCATTAAAAGATATGTCGCTAGCGATTTCTAGCAGACTAACAGATGCACTGCCCACTAATCACTTTGGCCATACCTACACCAAAATCGCTCAAACTTAAAAGTTTTGTATCTCAGTCGGAAATTATCGTATCAAAAAAAATCAAACTGAGTTTTGAAGGTTGTTGTAATAACTTTCATATAATATGTAAAGAAAGTTAAAAAAATCAAAAACTATGTCTTTTTACGATAGAAAACAAATTTTTGATTGTTTTCATCTTAATTCAAATCAATGTTAGTTTAGAACTAGTAATAGAAGAATAAATATACCTACAGAAGTCAAAAGCTAGCTCCTTTCCATTTATAAAGATCACTCGCGGATTTTTGTGTGACTTTTTGTACTATAGTTACAGTCATTTCTGTAAATAAACAGTCTTTTTTGTTAATCTATCATTATCTTGAGTTCTGTTGATTTTTGGAAAAAATATCATAAAGAAAAAAATGTTGTTTTATGCTCCAATTTATAAAAAAATTTTAGAAAAAATGTTCTTTAATCTGTTCAACGTTTATTAGAATCTAGATTCATGTTTCAACATGACATGGTCCTGAAGCATCAATCTGAACCATATACAAATTATTTAGAAAGTTTAGAAAACAAAATAAATTGAAAGTAACGAACCCCACAGTTACTTGATCTCAACTCCATTGTTCGCGTCATTTGCGCTCCGAGATTAAAAAAAAAAAAAAAAAAGGGAGAGAGAGAAAGCGACCGACAACAGAATATAAGGAGCGACGCAAGGGCAATAAATCATCGACTTCCGCGTTCGGTGACGTTTACAGTCGGAAATAGGCGCGCATCTGTTGTTTATTGCATTTCGCCAATTGCAGCGCGTATTTCCCCCATCTGCGCACCGCATGTCCAAATGCAGTTATTAGGTTTCTTAGTTTTTTTTTTAGGTGAAAATTAATTCCGCTAACCCGGCAATACTCTCGTCTTAGCACGTCTGGGTTTTCCCCAGACGTGCTCGATGACCAATGATCTCGAGGCCGCGCGCGTCAATAAAAAAAAAGAGAGTTCGCGGCCGGCGGCCGCAGGTAATCAAAGGTCGCACGGACTCTTCCACCCTCGCAATCGTAAATCCCTCTCTGTTTGGCCCCCTCGGACGGGCCTCAAGAGTAGGGAGAATTTTCCGCCTATTTATTCTCGCGTCTTCGGATAGAAAGGGTTCTGTTCCTTCCGGAAACCAGACAGCTACGGTCGAGACTCTGCTCTCTAACGTGCATCTCTCATCACTCAAAAGGGTTATACGCGACAAGTCCTCTTTCTGCCGCAAGTGCATGTCTGCGACACCGAGCCAAGAGAGGAACCGTGAGCGCTTAGGTGTGTGAGTGTGTTGGGTGCGACTGACTCGCTAGTGTCTCGTGATCCCAGTGACGCATTTCAAGGGGACTGACTGCGTCAGTGGAAGACACCCTCAAGTCTCCGGGGTGCTACCAGTTCCTTCCTGCCCATCAGTCGGCAAACTAAGCGACATCGCAGTTTTTGTGTGCTCAAGACGTTGGGGCTGCGGTGCGCTGATGTGTGTGTGTGTGGTAGCACCTTCCCTCCCTCTACCTATGTTGGCGTCGACTGTAAGCGAACACACATTTTTACTCTGAATGGCCATTCACCGTGTAAACTGTACAGGCTCCGCGAGCCTCAGGTAATCTATTATAAGCGTATACAATTTCTCTCTCTCAATTTTGTATTAGTGGCGTAGTTTTTATTTATAATAGTAAACAACTCTGTAAGTAATCTATAGGATCTCGATGGCTTTTCCCCACTCATGACTGGGGTTTTTATGCCGGATGAGTATTCCTCACTTTAATAATTTCATTAAAGTTATATTGTATAATTAGGACTTATCATTTATAACACGCAATCATCCATCCCTAATTCCGAACTTATTTATTGTCACGTATTATCTCCTCGGCGCCTTCCGCTTGCCCGTCCGGAGTATAATTCATTGTTAATAATATTAATAATCATAACATTTAAGCTACAGTTTAAACATCCATTAAGCTGCTCTAAGAAGAGTATGATAGAGCGATGAGGAAGATCCAACTAATCACAGCGTGACCTTTGGAATATCTTGCAAATAGAGTGGAAAAAAATAAAATCGACAACGTTGACTAAGCTCGTACTTCGGATGCCACGATTGTGTAAGACTGTAATTAGAAGTTGGAATTAGAAGGTGCATATTTTAAAGAAAAATTGGTTTAAAAGTATGTTTTGTTACCGAATGTTGTGTTTACCGAAGTAAAAATAATTATTTAAGTGAATATTTTTATGTAAAGATAAGTTTGAAACTAAGTTTTATTTTCAAACTGAAGAGTTTAGTGATGAACAAAACAAAACTAAAATTTAGAGGTATTGTGAGCACTTTGTGAACAAGTATACATTTAGTTTCAAAGCCACCATCATATCAACTGCAATCAGCAGCTTCCAACAGCATTTGTCAGCAATACTGGCAGCAACCAGCGCGCAGCAACAATGGAAGTAGCTAGCCCTGTGTGGACCAGAAGCTCCCAGTTATCCGCTAATTCACGAACGGTTACGGTTGATCACCGTAACCGTAACTTACGGCAGGTGCACTTATTCTATCCACGACTTTCACGTTAAATAGTACCGGGAAGTAGTTAGTGTACACGCTGTCAATAGTTTCTTGAGTGAAAAAGAACCAAAATCTTTAACGTTGATCACAGTTATTTTTTAAAAAATAAAATAATAATATTATATATACGAGGGTGGTCCGATAAGTACTTAGCCTCACCGCCCGATGGCGCCACTCTCGCAAAAGAAATATTCTATCACGTAGTACAACCTTCTCGATGGTTACTGTCAAGATTTCAGCCGGATCGGAGTTGTAGTTTATTTTTGAGAGCGTGTGAAAGCAAGTCTGTCCGTTGATTTTTGAAAAATGGAAAAAGAGCAGTATCGGTCGGTGATTCGATTCTTGTTTTTGGAAGGGAAATCGCGCAGTGACATCAAAAAGCGCTTGGATGCTATGTACGGTGACTCTTCTCCTTCGATGGCGACCGTCAAAAATTGGTTTAACGAGTTTCAACGTGGTCGCACGTCGATTTTTGAAGAGCCACGTCCAGGTAATCCGAAAACGGCTACCACGGAGGATAACGTGACAAAAATTCATGATCTCGTATTGGCAGATCGACGATTGAAGGTGGGCGAGATAGCTAAGATCGTAGGCATCTCAAAAGACCGATCAGAGCAATGTCTGACGCTGTTTAAGGGCAATCCGAAGGAGTTTCTGCGTCGTTTCGTGACAGTCAACGAAACATGGATCCACTGGTATACACCAGAGACCACGGAACAGTCGAAACAGTGGACTTTACCCGGCGAAAGTGCTCCGAAGAAGGCGAAGACTGCCCCCTCGGCCGGAGAGGTGATGGCCTCCGTTTTCTGGGATTCACAAGGTGTGATCTACATCGACTACCTGGAGATGGGCAAAACGGTCAGAGGGCCGTACTATGCCGAATTATTGGGCCGATTCGACGTCGAATTGCCGAAAAAACGGCCCCATTTCCGTCCAAAAAATCGTGGGAAATGAATGATTGGAAGCCATATATAAAAGTATAATCAGTTAAAATGGAGTTTGTCGTAGACATAGAAGGTTTCAAGACTTCCATAAACGAATTTGTGTTCAAGGAGGTTGCCATCGTTTCTATAGAATAAGATGTAACTTCTTTAGTATTTCTATTCAAACCATCTTACTATGGAACTGATTATTCAAAAAAAATCAATCCTAAAATCGTTGGTTAGTGAAGAACTTTCATGGTATTCGTTGGGAATGTGGCAATTTAAATTACGACGATCTTCGGAAAATAATAAGAAAAACTTTCTTTGAAGCTACTATTTTTGTCAAAGGCCTCGAAAAAGCAAATTGGTTAAGGTTTTTGCTGATAAATGCAAAGTAAGTTTATTTTTTCTCATACATACAATTATAAAGTTATCTACGAGGGTGGTCCGATAAGTAATTAGCCTACAAAAGAAAAACGAAAATTTTGGAAAAGTGGTGTTTTATTTTTCAACATAGTCTCCTTTTAGTTCGATACACTTGGCCCAGCGATGCTCCAATTTCTTTAACCCGTCTGAAAAATACGTTTCCTCGAGATCTGAAAAGTAGGCTTCCGTGGCAGCGATT